TTGCCCACGTCGACACTGTCACAGGCGGCAGAGGCTGGAGTGGAACTCCACAAACCTCTTCATCATTTCTTCCAAGATCGTGAATTGTCCCTCCATGGACGAGAAAAGCTCCTCCATTCTCGATTTGGGTTAATTCAACTCTCCCTCAAATTTTTCCTCCAAAGCATGTTGGTCGCCGCTACTCTCAGTTAAGGATTTGATACAAATTTGATAGAAACAAGTAGGGCTGTCAATTTGGCTCGTTGTTCGTGAACAGCTCGTGTTCAGCTCGTTAAGCAGCTCGTGTTCGGCTCGTTCGTTAAGCCTAACGAGTCGAACACGAACAATTTTTTAAGCTCGAAATGTAAACGAGCCGAACACGACCAACAGTTTGTTCGCTCGTGTTCGGCTCGAAAAAAAAATTATATAAAATTATATAACTTTTTATAGAACAATATATTACATATGTTATTTATATAATAATATATTATATATATTTATGTCTAAGTTTAAATCATAACATCGCATGTGGCAATGTGGTTAGTGTCTTCTTTTGTATAGGTTTGACCCAAGTTTGAATCTCACACTTTACATCTATTTTTCTTAATTTTAGTTTAACGAGTCAATTTCGAGCCGAACACGAACACGAATATTTAAATCGAGCCGAACACGAACACACTGTTCACGAGCCGATTTCGAACACGAGCCGATTTCGAACACGAGCTATTTCGAACGAGCCGAACACGAGCCAAGCATGAGCTCGCTCAAGCTCGGCTCGTTTACAGCCCTAAAAACAAGACAAGTTTCCACAAAGATAAGGTCAAAATAAAATAATAAAATTTCAAATATATAAAAATAGACCTACAATTCGAGAGGTAGGCAATCCTCTCACAAACCCTAAATACTAAAATTAGAGATAGCAATCACATACTATAACCATAATCATATTAAGCCTTATTTATACCAAACAATAGTAACTAACAAATGACTGAATTGTCCTTTTTTAGTCTTGCACCTAAAATAAGTCTTCAAATTATTTAGCAGATTTGATGTGGGTTTGAAGTGACCACTCGGCTTAGTGGGGCACAAGGCAGAAAGGGTTGTAACCGCCGGTCTAACATATTGCTTATTTTTCTAATGCCCTATCAAATTATATTTTAGAGTAAAAAACCATTTACATCTCATTTATTTCTTTACTTAACAAATTCTCATATTTTGTTTTCTTTAAGGACTTTCATTTCTTCTCCCATAACATTCTTCCAATTCATATTGTGTATTATTCTAAAGATAGAAATTATATGCATAATAATAAAAAAGATTGGTGATTATGACAAAGATTTTGTATGATCAAATTAAAAAAATTTTAGCGCAATTTTTTTTTATTATTATTAATAGATTCAATGGTTTCCTTAACATATTCCATAACAAGCATTTATTTGTTTGATTAGACTTACGTAAAATGATGTCATTTCTTTTTAGTAAATTGATAATGGCTAAGTAAAAAGTGGCTATGATATAGACTAAATTTGGGAAGAGTTGTCCAGTTAAAAGATAGAGTAATTTGTTGTGATAAAAGATAAGAAAAGACAGCCTAGTAAAAAAAAAACAAAAAACTTGAGATTAATATTTTTTAAGGAAAAATGATAATAAAATAATTATAATTTCATTGAAGGCAAAGTTATAGTACAAACGCCTTTTTGTGGTAGTGTATGTACCCTTCATAGCATCAAACTCCTTTCTAATCATCATGGAAGAATATGAGGAGATGACTAAAGTACTCTTTTAACTTCAATACTAAATGAATTTTTTATCATATTGAAAAAGATACGAAAGATACTTAGGTAGCAACTAGGTATAATCATCGATAAATAATGCAAATTATCAAGCCCTTGTGACATTAAGTAAAGGAAGGCTCTTTATAAATCACTATAAGAATGAAAAAGGCATAAAGGTTCTTGTGCCACTCACAAAAAAATCTATATATTTGTGCTTTGATAATTCACAAATAACAAAGTAAAATCCTTTATTAATTTATCAAAATAATGAAGAAAGCATGGTTTTAAGAACAATTAAAAAAAGTGGGTCAACGGTTTAAGTAGTGAAGACACTTTTTTCTTTGGATTAAAGGTTTTTGAGGAAAAATATAACATTAAAGATCTTTTCTTCTTTTATTATTAAATTCCTTAGAGTGGTAGAAACCAACCACTTTTTTAGCAAACCAAAACATCCTCCTCATGCCCTATTCCTGATAGCACAATATGAACTATAAAACACAAAACTGCATTGGGAAATTGGAATCTTTATTTAACTTTTAAATGGATAATAAGTAGAAAATTAATTTTAATACATGTGGAATTTTTTTAAGTATGAGAGTTTTTTTTTTATAAAATATCTTTTTGATTTAATGATATTTTTTTATTGTTAAGACAAGGAATATGAAATCAACTTATGAGATGAGCTAGTTAAAAAATTTATAGCTTCTGAATCTGTAATTCGGAAGTGAGAAATATGCACCACTAAGACTTAAAAGGCATGAGAAGAAAATGTAATACATAAAAATACTAGAATGCAAATATCTGCTATAGACAGTTTTTACAGGTGCTTCTAACAGGCCTTCCGAATTTCTCTATCGAAAGCTCAATTTTCTTCTTTTTCTTTAAAAAACTATATAGCCAACTGCGATCACTTTAGATTGTTCTTTTCAATCAATCAGTATGCTATGAATATTTTGCAACTCTCCTGTTGGATTCAGATTGCATCATTAAATTTTAAGAGAAATTAAAGAATAATGATATATTGGTATTCATTGTTATTTGTGATGAGAGAAATTGTGATTCTATTCATAGAAAAAAACAAAGAAAAGTAATGTGATGATTCATTGATGAAGGCTCACTGATGGGACAAATTTTAAACAATGCAATAATGAAAGCTACAACAATGAGAAATGTTTACAGCAATACAGAGATAAATACTACAGTTACAAAAAGAGGGAAAAAAGAAGGTAGCAATGAAGGTAATATGAATGTGGCAATGCAACAATGAATGTGGAAAATACAATAAAGAGGAAAAGCTTATGGTTTGATAGTATGAAAAAAATTAGAAATAAATGGTTAATTATTTCATTCTAACATTCTTGTACTATTCATACAATCTTATAACAATTAATATGAGCATATAAACCTGAAACTAATAATTCTACAATGATTACAATAATTCCTGGATAAGTAGGTAGCAGGGATCTCACGGATTAAGAGAAGGAAGAATAAAAAAAGTATCCCCCAGTTGACGAAAATTATTCAGGTGTTTCACAAAATTTAATATCATTTAACTCTTAAAACAAACAAAATAAAGGTGGCTTCCAAACCCTCAAAATCACTTCTCACCTCTATGAAGATGAGTTTCAAAATTGGGAACTCAATATCATCTTTTATATACCCAAAAAGAAACTGAAACTGAAACTTAATTCCAATCAATTCCAAATAGTTATGTTGAAATAAACAAGCCATTAAGATGCATAGCTTAATGAGTAATTTAATATAAGAACTAAATCGTATGGAAGAACAGATTTAGGGACTAAAAGAAACAAAACAATTAAGAAGAAAGGAAAAGAACGAAAAGAACAAAAAAGAATTACATCAAATCATTAAAAAAATAGACAAAAAGAAATTTTTTCTTGAAACAATAAAAAATACATAAAATTAATATGCCTTGACAAAATTCAATGGTAATCAGGTTAAAACTGATTCAATCTTCAAAACAAGATTTTTGATATCACATATTACAGAATCAAATGCCACAAGTAAACTTTTTGCTCCTTCCTCTACAATGTTGAGTACAATCATCAAATACTTAAAAAGTGGCCATACTTCAACAACACTTCTTTTAATATAACTAATTAGAGTTCCAACAGACTTAAAAAATAAAACACAGAAGAAAATAATCTCCTCCCACTGTCACTATTTTTCTATACTCGTCTTTTGGATATGTTCTTGTGCGATTAATCCGAAAAATCCTCAAAATAATAGGGTGCATCACTCTATTCTTTAAAGCATCATGTCTCCAAAAGTGCTCCCCTGCTTGCATCCACAAAATATGCAAAATATCTAACACCTTAAGACAAGATGTAAAGCACTTTCTAGCTCACCCCAGTATATGTTTTTAAAGGCCCTTGACAAAACCTCAACACGATTGACATGCACTGGCATATATCGAACAAAATATAAGCCAAACTAATCAAGTTACACAAATCAATTTTCTTTTAGATTCTTACCTTATACTTAATCACTCTTTCAATATATTCACTAGCATATTTACATTGTGCTAATAAAATCACCACAAACATTTCCTTCTAATTAAAATTAATTTAGTATAGCAACTTACTATTTGCTAAAGATCGTCTAAATTATTTGTACTATAAGCATGAAATTTTTTTTTATTTTTTTGATAAATGTCATGTCATATGTATATATTCTTCGTTGATACTATTTTAACAAGAAAATTAATATCGACACATGCTTAAGCCCTTCTGAAGAATTTGAAAACTACTTCATTATGACATCAACATTAATATCAAACTACCAAAAATTCAACAACTTCTCATTTTTTTGCGAATCAAATTAATGATATCTAAATTTGAGTTTTGCATTGCTTTAGATGATAACAAAAAAAATTTCTTTGCCAATTAGACTTGCATTTGGTCTTTCCTATTTCCCATGTGATCTGGTATATAGTGCATTCAGTAACACTTGAGTTACTAGCATGAGTAAAGATGGTACTAGACAAATCAACTATCAATACACCTCAATTTGCAAGACCCAAATTCAAGTATCCATTATTTTGGGCATTAATACAAAAAAGATAAATCACTTATCAACAAATTATAAAATATAAATATAGTTAGATTAAGTCTCTGTAGGGCTACTAATCACCTGACTAATTTCTGACATTAACAAGAAAAAAATACAGGAAACTAAACAATGACTGATAGCTCCTCTTTTAATCATACAAAAATAACAAGTAACCTGCATCAAACCTCCCTGAGGATTAACAGTGTTGGATGAGAATGCAGGGGTGCCCTTGGGAAATACACCTGCAAAAGGTATTTCAAAGGGTCAAGCATAATCGTATTCATTGCTGATATCGATATGAAAAATATCAACAAAATAGATTTGTATGATCTTATTCACCGAACAATGGAGATATTATTTCAAAATTTTCTAAAACTCTCCCTCAAATTAGGGCATATATATTTGTTAGATTTAAATTATCATATAAAAAAAATATGAAAGAGAACCTACAACATTGGTGAAGATAGCAATCACTTCTTCAAAACTGGAAAAATGATGAGTAAATCTTTTAGAAAACACGGCATCATTTACGAAGTGACAAACTAACTGAATGTGTTCTTTAATAAAACACATCACAAGAAATACACATGATTGCACGGTTTTACATGTAGAATAAGCAATGGCTCCATATTATGCTTCAATACTAGATCTAGTTACAATGATTTTCTTTGTACTCTTCTAAGATTACCTTCCACAAAAATACAAGTTAATATTATTATATCATCAATAAACCTAGCATAATAGGCATTAGTGAATGCTTTCTTTTTTAAGTGCTCCCTCTAAGCATACAGCATCACTTTCCCATGAGACTTCTTGATCTATATAAAGAATGTATTTTCATGAAAGGTATACAAACATTTGGTTGGGGATCATAAAATTTATATTTCTTCTAAGTTTGAGAGTACAAGAGGGATATAAAATGAGTGGCATAGGGAGAAAGTTTGCCATGTAAACCAATCATAAACAGAGGAAAGGCAACCAAACACCCATGACATAAAGAAAAAATAAGCAGCTTGGGAGAAAGAATCTTAATTGATAATTAATTGTTGAGAGTGTAGAGGAGACGAAATATATATAATACCAGATGGATGGGACTACATATCTCTAAAGTTGGTGAGGACATTCATGTGAAACATGAGTGTTCTAGTAAGGCGCCGACAAAGTCTGCATTGTATAACTTCTGTTTATTAAGAGGATATGAGCATACCGAAGAATATTACTTTAGAAAAAAAAAAATTAATTGAATTACTATGTGTTCTAAAGTATTATCAATGAGCAAAACAATCAAATAAGCTAAAGATTGAACGTAATGCATCAAGAATTTATAATCAATATGTCAATAAATACACCCAAGTAACATGAGAATAATCATCAATAACCATACCAAAATAGCGAAATTTGAGTAAAAAAAAAACTTTAAATATAAAAATGAACTAACTCAAAATGAGGAAAATAATGACTATCAGTAGATGACGAAAATGACAATAATTTTACTCAATTCACAAGTAGAATATTCAAATTTAAAAGGAAGGGGGGTGACAAATTCCTGAAGTAAAGAAGGCAGGGGATGGCTCAAGTAACGGTGCCATTGTTAAGGAGTGATAGTAGAGCAAAGGGTAAAAGAAGTGTCAATAGCTAAGTAGTAAATGCCTCCAGATTCAGCACAGGAACCAATCATCTCCTTCAAGCTAAGATACTAAATAAAATAATCAATATGATAACAAAAAGTTGAACGAACAATTGTTAGTTGTCAAGAGAATGCATAGAAATTTACTAGATGCAAGGGAACTTATAATGCAATTCATAGAGTAAAGTTTTGATAAGGATGAGCTAGTGCCTTTTCCATATATAGAGGATGGTGAACCATCGGCATCAATGATAGGTAACAAAAGAGGTATGTGTAATAAAGAAAGTAATTGTCAATTACCTCTTATGTGGGAAAATGCTTCCAAGTCCAAACCATATGATGTATTAGCAGAGGCAGCAATGATATAGCTTGAACAAGAGATGGCCAAAATATTGCAAGAGAGGCCATTGTTTATTGAAGTAATTGATCGTATTCAACTTTGAGAGATGGTAAAAGAGCAAGAACTAAATCAAGGCAATAAAACAAAATTATTCATGGATGCATGTGAGTGGCTAAAAATTAACCATATTTGTCCCAACATCATTCAAGAGGCTGATTAGTGTGGTTGTAATATATAAATAGGATTTTATAATTACCACTTGTTCATCCTTCCCAACCATATACCCCTCTCCTGTATTAAGAACTAGTAGCAAGGGTAAAGTGATCGTGGGTTAAAGAAGAAGAATTTGATAGTTAGGTGATGCAAAGAACATGAGATAGAGTGGTAGTATTGCCCGGCATGATAGAGTCAGCCATTAGTTGAGATTGTGTAACATAAAGAGGAGGACGAAGACAAATAAAAAATTGTAATCAGAAATTCTTCATTTCATTTTTTTTAAGAATAAGATCAACAATGAAGGGATGATAAGTGACATTTCATCCCATTTCGCTCTCGAGGTGCTATAGTATTATTGAATTGGCAGGTCATTTTGTTGGAGGGAAAAAATGATAGAACAGAGAGACTGGAACATAAAGATATTATTGTCTTGAATGAGCTCGAATGGAGAAAGCCTAAGGTGTTTTTAGCAGTCTTGAAATATAATTAATAGAAGCAATGAATGGTTCACAACCATTAAAGGAGTCATATTAAAATAACATAATCAAAAGCTTGCCATTTTAAGTGTCACGACCCTGCCTAGAGTTTGGAGTAAACTAAGTCGTGTACAGACGGTCGGACAATGGAAACTAATTTTTTTTATATTCATTTTCTATAACTAATATTTAATAAAGTAAAGAACCACTAGAGAAAATAAATTAAAGCAATACCATTAAATTTATCTCATTTCTGGTTGCCCGCATTTGCTATAAACTATTTCTCTTAATTGTTCATCTTTTTACCAAATAGCTAAACATGAAATGTCAGCTTAAATCCATAGTATGATAACAAAAACCAGTAAATACTCATACTCCAAAATTATAGTTCACAATGAAAATAAAAAAACATGCATGTCAACTAAACTTTATGTAAATTAATCTAACATTTGAAGGTTTATACTATTTAATATGATCATTCAAGGTAATTCACTATGTCTTACAGTATCGTTTACATATCAATATATTTTTAATTTGTATATAACCATTACATGAGCAATGTTTAAACTTGTACCAAAGAAGGTACATCAATATTAATATCATTTTTCATTTACGTGGACGGGTACCTAGTACCATAAATGAATGAACTTCATCAAAGTCAAACATGCACATGCAAACATACTATAACATTCAATATGCTTATATAATATTCAATATTTATGATAATTAATAAATATTAAGTACGCATATCATTTTTACACCATAAACAAAAATTCAATAGGATCATAAATCATGAGTATGCAGTGCATAAATATAACTAGTAACATTAAATACATTTAGTCGAGAAGAAGCAATGTGTTATTATAGCATATGAACATGAGTACTCACCTCAATCATTGATGACCCACATGCTAATTCTTCTCCCAACCTATCTCCAATGAAATCTATAATTAAAATGCATAAGGGATTATTGTTATTTTATAATCTTACTAAGTTGCCTTTATTTTATATTTAATGTATTATATAAATCATTAATTTATTTTAAATCAATAATAACCTTAATTAACTTTAATTATTGAGTCCTTAAAATTTAAATTTTCTTTATAAATTTAGTTTTAATGAATTTCATTATTATGATATAACAACAGAATCAAAATATTGTTCTAACCTCACAATTGAAGCCTTCTTGCCACTAAGCATCTTAAGCACGTATGAAAAACTATACATGAAGCACCACAATTGGCCTCTCCACAATCTGAGCTCTTGGTTGAGCTCAAAATTCTCTCTTATGCCCTTGCGAAATTGTCAGATGGTCTATTCCTTTGCACTCAACTGCTCAAGAATGAAAGATACTTGACACACAACCTAAGAAATCCTTAAGACATGATCATGTGTCCTTTAGTTTTTCTTCCTCCTTCACTTAGTCGCACAAGTACAACATCCTAGGCCTCGCACTCGATCAATGCTTGCGTGCTCTCCCTACTCGAATACTTTTTTCTGCAATCGAAGCCATGCCCTGCCCTCCGTCTTCATCTTCATTCAATTCCACGCACCAAGATTCATCTAACGTATTCCTCCTTTCCACGTCGAGCCAACTTCAAACCTGCAATCAACTACTCCTGTGCAGGAACATTGATTTCATGCTAGTTAAAGCCCTTTGTCTCCACCTACACATAGTACGATGCATTGGTTGCTCGACAAAACCCTCCAGTCTTCTTTGTCGTCTTTGACTGCATCTCCTCCTCCACCAGAAGAAATCAATTGGCGCTCCGCATTTGTGGCCTCCGCAAGTGCATTTGAGGCTCTCAAGTTCCCTCGCATTTGTGGCCAGAGTCGGTGCCGCTTCTTCCTTGGTTTCATCCGTCGCGGGCAAGTTTTCTCTTCCTTATCCTTCTCTCGCTCAATTTCTGATCTTTGCTTCGTTCCTTTAGTTTCCTCTCCCAATCTCCTCCTGTCTCCTCTTAAAATGTCGCACGCTCCTAGTCGATAAGACTCTATTCTGCTTGATATGACTCTCTGATTAATATGACCCATGACATTAATATCGGTTGTTATATTAAGGGTCAAAGGTTTCATTGTGAGGAATATCAAAATTAAATAGTTAATCAATTTATTCAACCAGAAGGTGAAAAACGCTCAACCACAAGAGATTTGATGCCATTAAATTTGTTATTTGAGGAGGAAGGCCTTGCCTCGATAAGAGGAGAATAGAAGCCATGAGACCAAGAAAGGATGTACCAAGATTTTAAAAGATATTTAAATCATACAATAAGAAAATACCAAAAGTGAAGTAATACTTGATTTTAGATAACCCATAAAATAAGCTAGCAAAGGACGAACAATTAAGAAGCAATGAATGGTTGCATTTGAGAGTGAGATAATTGGGATTAAGTGAATGTGTGCACTTAAGTGAATGTGAGAATGGTTGCATTTGAGAGTGAGATAATTGGGATTAGCTAACAAATATGTTGGAATGTGTGCACTTAAGTGAATGTGATAGTGCAAAGCACCAAGGTAAGCCACTGTCATGTGGGGATGTAGAGATGCATATGCAAGAATGTAAATAATGACCCATAGCCATGG